GGTTTAGGGTTTAGGGCTCAAAGGGCTTAGGGTTTAGGGTTTAGGTCTTATAGGGCTTGGGGTTCAGGTCTTATAGGGCTTTGGGTTTAGGGTTTAGGTGGGTTCTGGTTTTTGGGGTGTGTTTGGATATGAGGCTCTGGGGTTGTGTAGGGCTTGGGCTTTGCGGGTTGAGGGTGTTTAGGGTTTAGGGATGTTTAGGCTTGGGGTCCAGGATATGCGGGGTTGGGGCTTGTAGAGTTTTAGGAGGGTTTGGGGTTTCGGTTTTCGGCGAAACATTACGACTGAAGGATTTTGCGGCTTCAGGGTGTAGGGCCAGTGTAGGGCTTCGGCTTTCAAGCCCAGGCCTGCCACGAGTGGGTTTAGGGTGTATTTTTTCGGGCTGGCGGAGAAGCACAAACCCCGCAGACTTTAAATCCCTGCCACCCATGAGGCGACGGTTAACGGTCCTCTCGAATCACTATGGTTTAGGGCCTAGGGATGGGGATTTCAGGATTTTTGGGGTTTCGGGGTTTAGGGCTTAGAGTCTGGGTTCCATTGCATGTTGCAGTGTAATGTCATTTGCACCTATGGCTTACTTGGGACACTATTGGGGCTTGGCCTGGCGGGATTCTCGATGCTTCTGCTTGACCTTCAGAGTCGTCTGTGCATGCGGGGTTTGCTGGCAAAGGGATTTGGTCTTGGCTAAGCAATGTAGAGGCCTAGTTGGTATAGCTCCTCAGGGGCTCCTCCCTTCATGTCAGCTAAAACATCTCCCAGAAAGAGGTTATATCTTCGGTGTTAGAGTTCGGGGGTCAAGGGCCGAGGGTTTGGAATTCAGGTGTTTAGAGTTCAGCGTTGTGTTCCCCGATGTTCTTGAACACCAAGTCAAGACCCGCAAAACTGCCTGTTCGAATTGCAACAATGGACGTGGAGTTTGAGGGCGTGAGGCGAAATTGTCTTGTACATCTCCAGGATACATGCCAACCTCTCTGGGAAGCCATGATGGAGGATGCTCAACACATGTGTTTCCGAAGTGAACATGCTAAAGCTGCTAAAGTAAGTTTACTCCATCATGATGAAGATTGAACAAAACCAACAACCCAATTCTAAACCTTAAGGCCTTTATACAAGACCCCATAAGACCCCTGCGCAAAAAAAGTCTGACCAAAATCTAAACCCTAAGCCGTAAACCCTAAACCCCGTGGCTCATTGATTCGGCTCGAGGTCCCAGCCACAAGGAGTTGGGCGCACAGGTTTGTAGCCTCCCACTTTCTCATCTCAGCGCCCAGTGCTTTTCGCCAGATTCAGCGATGCAGCTCGTGTACGTGCGGACCTTCATTCAGGTGAGGACTCAACCTGGGGCTTACCCATACATAGGCCCCTAAGTAGTTCCTTTTTGGGATTAGGATTCTAAATATGAACCACAAAAAGGAACCACTTAGAGGCCTATGGGTAGAGGGTTTACTAAAGGCTTAAAATGGGTAGGGTGAGAGGTAGCAAAATAGCCAGAACATCAGCTAGCGGTGCCGTTGGTTCAGCATTCCGCCAAACGAACAGTGACACATCTGTTTGCTGAAGTAACGAACAGTGACACATCTGTTTGCTGAATGTTGTCCATTCCTAGATATAAGTACCATTATCGGAGATACCTACCGACCTATATTAATATAAGCCATAATTACTGGCAGTCTCTAAAGGGCCTAAACCCCCCTTAACCCGAAATGCGTACTATTGTATTAAGTCGCTACCCAAAATATCTTATCCGTGCCCTTAAACCTGCACCTCTGGGGTCTATTCAGCCCACCTGGACTTAGACTCATGGTATAAAGCGAGCATTACCTTAAGGGCCCCGGTCCATGGGAATTATGGTATATTCCTTATTCTGAGTAATGCAGGATTTCATATCATCAACCGTATGGCCGGCCTTAGTCAGTTGGATGGGGTACATGATCGTAAAGCTATAGTAGGAAGGAGCCCGAAGGCATGATATAGGTGCCTATTTTCAGGCGTCCATAGTAGTCGGAACATCAAATGTCAAAGCGCACGGTGTCTAAACAGACCCCAAACCCTGAACCCTAAACCCTCAACCCTAAACCGTGGTTCCGGATTGAGTTAGTCGGATGGAGGCTTTTTAGATTTCGGATTGGGTTTCGGAACTCAGGGTTCATTCAACGTAGTTGGATGCAGAGGACTGGACCGAACTATCCGGTCACCGTACGGGTCACAACAGGGTGTCTAGAAGAGGTACTATAACGGTCAATTTGAGCTGAGCAGCTGCGAGATTTGTTGCATGATGATTGTCATCTTCATGGCCTTCAGTGGCCTTGCTACAACTCTAATACGCTTTGGCCATGATCTAGGTGGCACTTTGGGAAGAGTTGGATATTTTCTTTATGGCTTCTACAGAGGTACCTATTTCACACACATGTTTGAAGGGCCCCGAAACTACAACCCGGTAAGCTACTGGCCCTTTTGACCATGCCATCAACTTGAGGCCAGGAGCCCTGCAGTATGTCATCTGGCGGGATTAGAGTAGAAGCCCAAAAGTTGGAAACCCCATAGCCTCAATCCTGAAGGGTAAAAAAAGGGGACTCCCAGCACTAATTGTCCATAATCCAGTTTCCAACTTTTTGGGGTTTACTATAGAGGGGCTCAGTTGAGGCTTGAAGATCGGCTCCAGGACCCAGGCCCAGACTCTATACAGTAAGCACCAAAAAGTTGGAAACCGGATTAAGCTCACATAGTGCTTGGATTCCCTATACATTACTCTTTAGGATTGAGGCTATTAGGTTTCCAACTTTTGGGCTTCTACTGTAAACCCTATATTAGGGTTTAGGGTTTAGGGTTCTAGAACCTTCACCCCGAAGCCTTATAACGCTTATCAATAGGCCTCAAAGAGAGATCCGATCACCGCTAGCGAGCCGAACGTGCCTTCATTCAGTCTTGTCTCAAGTTTTTTGGGGCCTGGGTAGCTCTCTAAATTTCGGGTCCCTTTTAGGTTCCTTTCTCTTTTGAGGGTGCCGCCGTCTCTTGGGTTAGTAAAAGGGGCCCCCAAAATTTCAGGGAGCTACCAAAATTGCATGCAACTCGAACCTGCAGTATCAGCTCTCGACCCCGGCAAGAAGAGGCTACAGGTGGTTTGGGGCCAACCCCAAGGGTCCATGTACCCAAATAGTATATACTTTGGCCTTAAAGTATTCCCTATATAGGTACTTTGGGGCCAAAGTATATACTATTTGGGTACATGGACCCTTAGGGTAAGAGTTTAGTCATATAGGCGTAACCCCAGACCCTATAAACCCGTGAAGTTCCCATGTTCAGGTGGATGAAGAAAAGCCTGTTCTTCGGCGAATCCGATCCGCTTCGCCTAGTCGCCGAGTCGATAGCCGGGAGCCCTGGAAAGGGAGGGCTATCGCTCTGACTATGGGATCAGAAGCTATCGCTTTGTAAGATTTGGGGTTTAGGGTTTAGGGTGGGGCAGAGTGGAGGTCTTGCCCAAAGGCAAAAAGATCTTCTGAGGCGTGCGAGCCACAGGTACGACATTGCAAGGCGAGTAGTCGGGCTCCCTAAAACCTAAACCGCGAGATGTTGAATTCGTGCTGACTAGATTTATATAGAAACAGAGCTCCCCTGAGCCCGACTTAAGCTTTCGCATGTCTGCGTCTACTACCTAGGCCGTGCCCAAAACCCCAAAGTCCAAGCTCACTTCCACGGTAAACCTTGCAACAAGCCTCAACAGCGGACGACCTATATAGGCCTAAAGCCCCTAAACCCTAAAAACCTTAAACCCCCAAAACCCTAAACCTTAGACCCTAAACCCTAAACCCTATAAACCCTATAAGCCCTATAAGCCCCCTATAAGCCCTATAAGCCCTATAAACCCTATAAACCCTATAAACCCTAAAAACCCTAAAAACCCAAAACCCTAAACCTAAACCCAACCAAGCCTAAACCTTAAACCCTAAACCAAGCCTAAAGCCCCCCAAACTGAGCCAGCCGAAGCTGGTGAGGTGTCGACGAAGCGATCCAGTCGCTTCCTTTGCCTGGCGGGCTTGAGTTCACCAAGTTCAGGGGTTTAGGGCCTTTAGGGTTTAGGGTTCAGGGGTTTAGGGTTTAGGGTTCGGGTTTAGGGTTCAGGGGTTTGGGGTTTAGAGTTCACAAGTTCAGGGGCTTAGGGCTTATAGGGTTTAGGGTTTCGGGGTTTAGGGTTTAGGGTTCTGGGGTTTAGGGTTTAGGGTTTTGGGCATGGTTTAGTGGCCAGAAATACCGAACTAGATTCAGGGATTCGGGACTTCTTCCTTCACTTTGAGCATGTAGGGCCGACGGGGGCTTGGGAGGGTAAGGTGGATTTAGACCTGAAGCCTAAGCCCTAGACCGTGTGAGTCCTATAAACCCCTAAACCCTAAATTCTAAGCCCCTAAAACCCTGAGCTCTGAGGCGAAGGGCTGTACCTAGGCCAGGTTCCCAGAGTTCATGGAGGAAGGTCACGAGCTGTTCAGAGGTTCATCTTTGTCGGATTTAGGGTGTAGGCTTGGGAGTTTAGGGTTTAGGGTTTGGGGAAGTATGAGTCCTAGCATTCGACCCCGGTAGATTTTCTCCATCTGCTCGTGGACACTTTCATCTTACATACACATCTAAGCTCTGAAGATTGCAATACCAATATTGTAGACCCCTCCCTTTCCTTGGGTCCCCGTAATATTGGAATCCCGACTATAACCGGGGTTTATGAGTCAAGGGTCTACATGAACATACATCATGTCTGGCCATGATGCCCTCATCCCTTATGATCCAGAGCTTAACCCGAAGCCCGAAGCCGAAATCCCGAGCCGCCAGTCCCAAGCGACATTGCATCCAGAAGCCTCATATCCTAAAAACCCGCAGGCCTAAACCCAAAACCCTAAACTAAACCCTGTAGAACTTCGCTAAACTCCTCTTCGCCTTCATAGAACCCTTGCTTCCTCCCCTGAAACTCCCTTTCTCCCAGGGCAGATCTGCGCAACTTGCCACACCGGGTCGAAGAGATGCTACGAATTTTGCATCAGATCCCCGAAGTTGAACAGGACAGAAAGTTGCCAAAAAGGGGGGGGGTTACGCTTTAGGGGTTTAGGCTTGGGGCACTAGGGGTTTAGGGTTGAAACGGGGTAGTGTTGACTTGAGATGTATGGGCTTGAACTGATTCAATCCAATTCATAATGGCCTTTATGATATAACCCTAAGGGTCCATGTACCCAAACAGTATATACTTTGGCCTTAAAGTATTCCCTATATAGGTACTTTCTATTTGGGTACATGGACCCTTAGGGTAAGGGTTCCAGCAATGCAGGCTCTCTCAGGGTTGCGAGGGTTTAGTTTGTTGTTCATTTTTCTTGTGGTGTCTTTTTTTTTCGAAGCAGTGTGGAACACGTTATGGCGTTCAGAGTTTAGAGTAAAGATGAATGTTTGTTTAAAGAGAATTGGTTACGGTAGCCACACGTGCACAGTTCTTGGCCTCGAAAACATTGAATTGTGCCCATATTTCGCGGAAAGTAGTTTGGCCGTGGTCATGAATCCCGCCAGTATTGGGGGAAGCATTTCGGCCTCTGGTGACAGCGGTCGTAGTGGTGTTCCTCGTGGTCGTCGTGGTCATGGTTGGTTCTCTTGGTCGTCCTGGTCGTCGTGGTGCTCCATCATTCTCTGCTGGCGCAAAGGGTTTCAATACGGGCACTTAGTGCTTTAGGGTTTTAGGGCTCGGGGTTGAGCGGAGGTTTCGGGGTTTTGGGCTTCAAGGGTTCCTACCCAGAGTTGAGTCTGCAGGTTGCTGAAAGCATTCTGTTATTGACTACTCTGGTACCAGTAGCAGTTTCAGAACAAATTGTTTCATTCAGTTCTGGTGCTTTTTCATGCCCATGTATATGTGCAACCGGGATTGCCAAGCCTCACGCCTGAGTAACAAGTGCAACAGATCTCGCAGAAGTAGCAGTCACCAACCATATAGGTATCGCTCTTTGAGTAAGTTGACTATTCCGTGATTCCTAGTCTTTTCGAGCCGATTTTTATGTCAAGGTGAGTAGTGGTTCTGTTTAACCAGCTGTCGTTATCGTTTTAAACAAAGACGCTTGACGCTTTGATTGAGCTTCCACTTTTGTACGCACAGTCAAGTCCAATAGTGTATTTGTTTTGCAGTCGTTTACCATTTATTTAACTTTGGCCCATTACCTGGTTGCTTCATACAACCATATATGCAACAACAGGCCGTGTTTCCAGATAAATGCCGGTAATTATAGCTGTAATCTTAACGCCGTTACATTAGACTTTTCAATGCAATTGTGGAAAAAGAACAGAAAATTTCGACAATAGCAGGTAACCGTAGCAGTTCTTGACCCACTATTATACTTGTAGGTATTGGCATGTGTACTGGAAATATATGTGTCATGCAGCCATACACCTGCAAGCCTATCCAAGCTCCACTTCCATTCTCCGTCATACCGAAATTACGAAAACGTTCTGCTATGCACAAATTATCGTATCAAGTCTAGCCAGTGTAGTTTCAATACTACATGTACCAATGTTGCAGTTGTTACCAGTACCAATATCCCTGATACTGTGGTTATTGCCCGTCCGCTTCCTTCAGCATTACTAGCCCACCTAACTACATGTTTTCTGGGTAGCTCTGGGCAACCGGTGTAGTCAGGTAATACATTGAAGCTGGAGGATTGATACTGTTGAAATCGACAATTATTCCATATGTGGCTGCTTGGGAACGTGTGTATTCAGCAGGTTGTGTCTTGATCTCTTGTCCCGATATCCAAAGAACCTTGACCTGCTGTTCTGAGTTTCGTTCATCTGAATTCTGCGCATGACCTACAGTAAGTCATGTCGATTCCTGGGTTGGTCGAACTAGGCGTTGGCTTTTGTGTAAAATCGCTGTAAACATGTGATACATAGCGAATGATGACCATTTTCAATCATGTATGCTACAATTGTCTTGTGAACTGCTGTTATTTTACTGGTCGGAGGTCTGTACTGTAAGCACATATTATTATTAAAGCCATACAAACATGAACACACAACAACTCAAGACCCCCCCCATGCCAACACAAGGCACATATAGGTCGACAACTTACATATTTGTCTTACGAACTGCGTGGTTCAAGCCATCATATTGGGTTTGTTGGTGTTTTCGGAATACTGCTTTAAGTGTACAGGCGTGACTTAGTTCGAGTTTCCCATAGTCAAGTCAGTCGTAGACAAGGCGGAAATCTCCGTGCTTAATAACCAGACTAAATCAGTCAGTGAACTGGTCTTCCCATAATAACGTCTTTATCCAGAGATTCATGAGTAATATGTATGTTTGTACAGAACAAGAAGGGACAAGTTCATGAACAATTGCTTGGCAATCATCTCGCATGAAGACTGGACTTGCGAAATGTTGGCTTCCTAAGCGGTGGGTCTTAAACAAGCCAGGCTCGAGACACAAACTGAAATTTTCAATCCGATAAGAGTACCCTTAATCTTCTTGAGTTTAGCCACGTCTATGTTTTCCCTGCGATGGTCTGTCGCCGAGGGGCGTGAGCATAGATTTTCTTTCTAGTTTCAGGATGCTTTAGGATTTCGGGTAGGGTACCTGTAAGATCTGCAAGGCAGGTTTTGCTGCGACGGGCAATAAAACCTTACCCCTTACACCCTGTATAAGTCCCTGAGACCGCCATCTTCAAGCACGCAAGGTTTTCGAACGCTGACCACCCGACTCCTGCAACTCCTGCAGACGGAAAAGCCCTACACCGAAACAAATCGTACAGACGCCAGACCCTCAAACCCCAAGCAAGCTCTAAAAGCCCCCCTAAACCCTAAACCCTAAACCCAAGTAAGCTCTAAAAGCCCCTATCTCCCTCTCTTGGTCGCGCAGACGGATTCTTCCGACACGGCACCCACTGCAAACGACACGCGTCCTTGCGTGCCGAACGACGGAAGTCGGGGTCATCCCTATTGTTGCCACACTGCTGAACATGGGGATTTGGTTTGGGCATTTTGCAGAGATCCCTTCTTCATGGGTCCCGCTTGTATATTAGGGTCCCTCTTTTTATTAATGTGCGTTACGTATGGCAGTTGACATGGGTTGCCGTTGCCGTGACTTGTGCTTATCTCTGTGTGACATATATTCCAAGCTGTCAAGAACAGCCTACACCAGGGGATGGATGCATTAGTTCAGTGGTTGGGAGCTACAGCGCTCCGAAGGGTAGAGAGATCGGATGCCTCGAGGTTCGGTGTTTGTTTGTTGAAGTCGCTGATGTGGGACAAAGGGATTTCTGCCATTTGGGGTCAGCAACGACTAGTGCTGGGAACGACTAAGTAGACCCTAAAATACACATGTATCCAGGGCCACGCAAATTAATGGCCTGTATTTTGAGGCCGGGGGGGAGTGGGGGCGGGGTTAGGGTTTAGGCTTCAGGGTTTAGCGTGGGCGGCGTGGGAAGAGTTGCAATTGATGCTTGTTGTGGTTGGGTGGTGTGCGAGTTTCATTTGTAAGGGGTGATGGGGTGTGTCTCCGAAGTTATGGGTGCGTTCTTCGGGTCATTTCCGAGTCCTTTGCATGCGCCCTAAAATGCCTAAACGGCCCTAGGGTCCCGCGCCAGAAACTCCGGTGCGCAAACAGTTGATGGTGTCTTCCAGGTCGCCCGATGATGATCAGAGAACGGAGCATAATAAGACTAAATCACTAAGCCCTAAACCCCAAAATGTACAAGATCAGCAACAACATACATTGAAACGCAAGTGTGAATAAAGCTTCACACTGCCAGCCGCCGCAAGCCGTAAACTGAGCCGGCCAAAAAGGACCCCGCTTAGAGCCTACCTTATACCCCGAGTTTAGGGTTTAGGGTTTAGGACTCAGGGTTTAGGGTTTATGGTTTAGGATTTATAGGGTTTAGGGTTTTGGCTTTAGGAGATAAACCCTACACACTTAACCCTAGCCCCTTTGAGGTAGGCGTCCGTGCCTTTTCTTTGCAGCTGCACAATGTGAAGCAGGGGCACGCTGCTACCTGGGAGGAAATGGCAATACAGGGTCTACTATGAGGGTTGTAAAGTATAGAGGGGGTGGTCTTAGGGTTTTTAGGGTTTTAGACAGCTTTAGGTAGGGAGGCCATGGCAAGAAAGGGTGCCCCCTACGTCTTCAGAGGGTTTACAGGGGGTTTAGGGGTTTAGAGTTCAAACTTTCAATTTGGCGAGCCGGTTCATTATCCCTGGTGTATACGATGGTTGGGGCTGAGCCCTTGAAACCTCCCCCGGCGAGTCGACACCTGCAGAGAAAAAATCGGTGAAAGGCCCCCTTGCAAGAGCACGCCGAGACCAGGAACGTAAAGCTCTAGAGCATCGGCGTTGAGGCTTTGAGGGTTCAGGCCTGACGGTCCAAAAACAGAGGACTCGATAAAGCTTGTGAGTGATATCTTGTTGATCGCCCCTATCATCGATTTCTAGTGGCAATAATCTACCCTGAGTCCCTGTCTTTACTCACTCAGGCCTCTACATTACGGCTAGGCTGAGTCGTGGAGACTCCATGTTTGGGTGGTTAAGGTTTTGGGTTCAGGGTTTCTGGTTTAGGTGTAGGTCCGGGTTCAGAGTCATGTTTTTGGGTTACAGGGCTAAGGGCTCGGAGGTCAGGGTTTTAGGGTTACTTTAAGCCCAGGTGATTATTGTCACCTCGACCATGAGCCACGTCCGCCGTCCTTGAACAAGAAGCAGCGGTTCATATTGCAGGCGAATGGGGCATGGTCTGTAAAATGTGTAGCCCCTACCTGGGGGCTCTAAGGGCCTGTTGCCTGTGTTTGGGGGCTACAGGTTCACCCTACACCTCCCCCAATCCGCTGTTGTGCTTCCCATCCTTGTACTTGGGAAGTTTGCAAACCGTCTTAGTATACTTACATAGCTACGACTTGCCATGCTGGACATGAAGCCCCGATGTTCATGCCCTTCCTGCCCCGAAGAACCTACATTTTTTGAAGGACTTATATACAGAAATCAGAATAAGGAACCCGAACGAAGGAGGACCCGACACGCTCCAAGAACTTGAAGGGCTCAAAGCCGGAAGGCAACCATCCCCAAAGTGCGGTACCATTTTGCTTTATGTAGCAATTCCAAACCTATCGACTCATGATTCGGCCATGCCTTTGCAAAGACCTCCGTTTTGGGAGGCTATTTTCTGGACAGGTTGAAGCCCTGTAACGGCCGAAGTCAGCAGCCTAGTGTTGTGTGGCCGCAACGCAACACTTGCACATATACGAACCATATTGGGTTCCATGTTCTCGAGGGGCCGTTGCATCAAAACCGCTACTGGCATGAAGTTTACATCGCAGTCCTGAAGCTCCTGGAAACAAGAGCAACAAAGCATACAAGGCTCCACGAGAAGCGTCCTAAACCCTAACCCCCCTAAGCCCTAAACCCTAAACCCCAAACCCGTTGGCCACGTCAGCATCGAACTGCCCAGCTATCCGACAGCCGGGCTCCGCAGATCTCGAACCAGAGCACTTTTGCTAGATCGCTGGGTAGCCAAGGTAATTAGTTCGAGGTCGGAACAGTGTTGGTGCTAACGTTGATTTGTGTTTTAGTCCTTAACATAAATGTAACAGAAAGAGTCATTCCAAGCAGCCTCCTTGAAGACACGCCACTCCTTTTGTCAACCCTAAACCCTATTTCAACCCTTACCTTAAATCCCAAACCGTATTTTTGACCCAAACCCTAAATCCTAAAGCCTATATACGTAAGCCCTGACCCTATAAACACCCTAAACCCTAGCCCCGAGGAGTTCAGCAGGGCCGAGATTCTTGTGATACTGCTTCCACACCTCGAGGCACGCTTCGGCACGAGCAGTATCTGGACGGTGTAGGGTTTAGGGTTTCGGGGTGTGTATGCAGTGTGCGCCGGTGTGGGTGCGCCTTAAAATTCAGGAAAAGGGGCACACCCGATAGTCGAACGCTAGCCTCAGCATGTAGTCCCGCCCCAACTAGCCCAACTATTTTCAATTAGGGTTCCGCGGAAACACTCCTCATCTGGGGTAGCGGAGACACAGGCTCAACATACTGTATTGAATCCCTAAGCACTGGACGCTATAGGAGCTAAGACCCATAAGGTGTTTCCCTACACACCTCTACGAGACCCTACACCCCAATCCTGGCTCCTACTGTAGGGGCCCAGATAAGTACCAATACTATTTTGGGGGGCTCAATTCTTGTACCAAACCCTATTCTAATTCTTCTAAATTATGAATGGCCCCTACATGAAACCCCAAACGTAGAACCCGAAATTCCAAAGCTTCCCTACCCATAGGCTCCTAAGTAGTTCCTTTTTATGGTTCATATTTAGAATCCTATAAGCTAATCCCAAAAAGGAACTACTTAGGAGCCCATCGGTATACCCTAAACCCTAAACCCTAAGTCCTAAACCCTAAACCCTAAACCCTGATCCCTAAACCCTAAACCTAGGAGCCTATGGGTATACCCTTGGAGCCAGGCCAAGGCCGAACAAATGGGCCAGGCAGCTGACGCCGCACCGATCATCTCGCCCTTCCCTCAGTGCTACGGTTTTAGGGTTTAGGGTTCAGGTTTTGGGGTTTAGGGTTCAGGTTTTAGGGTTTAGGGTTTAGGTTTAGGGTTCAGGTTGTAGGGCTTAGGGTTAAGGGTTTAGGGTTTAGGGTTTCTCTGTTTTTGTATCTAGGGTTTATAGGGTTTAGGGTTTAGGGTGTCCGTCAAGGGCTTCTGAGTGCTCTTTTATAGGCCCTTCAAAAGGAAATATAGAAGGCCAACCATCAATCGTGGGCAGTAGACGATGATGACCCAGGTCGGTTCTGGGAAGGAAAGCCCACTCCCAGTGGGGACTATGGGCCAATCATGGGAGTCTCCAAATAAAGACTAAATCCCAAACCCTGAACCCTAGAGCCTAAACCCTTATAAACCCTAAAAACCCTCAACCCTGAACCCGAACCTAAACCCAAAGCCCCTATAATTGAAACCCTAAACCCTAAACCCAAAGCCCCTATAATTGAGAAGTTGTTGATCATGGCTGACGCTAAGGTCCTTCCACCGCGAGCTCCAGATCCTCAGCGTCGGTGTGGCCTGGCTGTGCCATTTTTTTGTGGTTGATACTAAACCCTAAGCCCTAAACCCTAAACCCCTAAATATACAAACCAAGCAGAAACGACTCTTCTCCTTTTCCGGTCTTCTTCCTGAAGCTCCGGACTTGCCGATCGCGGCCGGCAGTCCCGTTGCGAAGGCATGGACAGTAGGTTTTCAGAGCGTGTTTCGTGAGATAAGGTGCATTGGTCAACATTGAGCCAGAGATCGCATGTGCTGGACAAGGTGCCGAGATACCCTGAACCCTAAACCCTAAGCCCTAAGCCCTAAGCCCTAAACCCTAAGCCCTAAGCCCTAAACCCTAAACCCTAAGCCCTAAGCCCTAAACCCTAAACCCTTCACGGTCCTGGGCCTCGGTCCTCTTTCTCCAGCTTAAGTCTTCCCAGAAGTGTCGATCACAAGCCAGGCTTGGTGATTGCTGTTATTAGCAAGTGTCATGGCAATGTCTACATCTGTGCACCATAGGTAAGAGGATGTTCGAAAGTACTGAACGACAGTAGCCCTCATAGTCGCAAGTGGAAGAACAGTGATGGCAAGGAGATGGATCATGACAAGGCTTCGGCCGAGGGTTTTTCTAAACCCTGTAGGCCCTAAACCCTATACGCTGATCATCAAAAGGCTTCGATTGGGGGTTCAGGCCTAAACCCTAAACCCTAAACCCTAAACCCTAAACCATAAACCCAAACCCTAAACCCTAAACCCTAAAGGGCTTTCATCAGACGTAGAGGTGCTCCAGAAAATGAAGTTCGGTGACGTGGCACGGCTTGCGTCCTCCCGCTTCTACGGCGGTTCGTTCCTAGGATGTCAAATGGTTTAGGATTTAGGGTTTAGGGTTTAGGGAGGATGTCAAAGGGTGTATGCGAATTCATTATCGAATGAAGGACTATCAGATGCCCTCCACACAAGTTCAGGGCCCGCTGCTTATCGGAAAGCCCCGATGCCCGTTAGAGCACCGGGCCTGCTGAACTTTAGGATTTCGAGAACTCGGACACTCAAGCCCCATCGCCTTGACCATGATTGACCGAATGAGGGGCTGGCTGCTCTTAAATGTGGTTATGTGTGTTCGGATCCACAAATCTCAGCTGTTGTGCGTGCATGGGTTGGAGGGATTGTAGCTTTGAGCCCTGCAACGAAAGCTTGAACCTTGCTTTCTTGCAGTCTTTTTGCACAGCACTTGACACGAATTAGCATATCATTATAGTTCTCGTGATCCCATTTGAGGAACAGCCCTGAAGACCCTACGCCGAAGCATAGAGATCGCTGCCGAAAGAGACGTAGATGTGGAACACAGAGAAAAGCCAGGTCTTTGGGTATCTGACAGGAAAGGAAATAGACTGCAACCCCACACTCGCCAAGTAATAGTCTTGTGGGAAAGCACTGACCTTCAAGATGTAGTATCCTCATCCCTTAACTCCCTTAACCCTGACTGAATGTGAGCTAGCATGAGGGCTCGGTATGACTGAAGTGCAACGTGACGGCTCGTACAAGATAGACAGCACTGAAGGACTATGAAAGCAGAAAGCGAGAGAGAGGGAGGGAGAGAGAGAGATAGAGAGTGTGTGTGAGATCCTTCATGGTCCATGGGGTTCAGTGACCGAGGGGGGGAGGGAGGCAGATAGACAGAGAAAAAATTCTCGTCTGAGCAACTGTCATCTTAAGTCACAAAACTCTTTTGCACTCTGGTAGCGCCGCGGACGAGACCGTTTTCAGAACCGAAGCCCTCCTTCATGTTCCAACCAATGTTCCTGGCGGTTTGCCATCGTCGTTCCCGTCTACAGCTTGATTGAATCGGTCGGCGAAATCTTGTACATCAGTGTTGTCCGTTTGACAGACCCGGAAACTTTTTGGCGCGAACGAAAAACAGTTCCTGCGTATTCAAGGATCAGAATCGTGTTCTCGCCACAGTTACTTGCGACTTTGCCGTGTATGATCGGTCTCGGTAGTTTCCGTTGAATCCAACGCCTGCGTTGGCGCAGTCGACTCTCCACCGGATTCCACCGTCTTTTGGCTATCAGGATCGTGCTCGCTTGCGGCAGTCCTATGCAACTCTGCGGGGATGGGCCCTAGTGATTTCTGCTGAATCCAATGGGCACATTTCGGCTTTCCACCAATTTTGGCCATATGTGCAACACCGCAGAAAGCATGGGAGACTATCCTACCATCGGGCGAGCGCAAAATTGCGCGCCGCCTGGCTTGAGCGACTCCAAGACTCGCAACTCGGGGCGGGACTTCGCGGCGTTCGTGAACCCGAACGTGCGCCGCATGTTCTGTGGGACCACGGGACAGGCATGAACCTCCTCTTTCAAAACTGGGAGTTGTGACCTTGCCTGCAGGTTCTGCCGCTGGCGGAGGCGGTGAGCATCCGAAACCGAAGGAACCTCGGCCACCGCTTCCCACGAACGCCTATACTGCTGAGCATCGACATGGTCATGACACTGGATTCGAACCCTGTAAGCATGTGAACGTGGAGCACCACTCCTTCCAGGGTGGGAAGGTGGCGCCGACAGAGCCTGTCCCCGACCCGAAGAAGCAGGCAAGAGACGAGATGTCGCGAAGTTTCGGCTGTCCTGCATGCACCGCAATCAGGCCTTGTGCGACCAGGAAAGGGAAAACAAGAAGACCCAATGCTGCCGCATCCGAAACCCTAGAGGTGTTCATCCCCTCTTACAAGCAATTTTGCCGGTGGACATAGATATATAATAGGTGCACATACAGTTTATGGTTAGAGGTGGACCCTAGGGTCTAGGCCCTAGAGCCTAAACCTTCAAGTGTTGGGATGGAGGGTACGCATTGTCAGCTGTCACCTTCCCAATTTGTGCCAAGCCCTGCAAAGGGTTTAGGGGTGTATTTTTGGGGGAACCTTTTATTCTTAATGCTGCACCCTACAGTTTGGAAACCCAAAAAAAGACCCTAGCAGGGGTCAAAATTTTGAGTTCAGGTTTGGGGTTCAGGGTGTAGCACTCTTTGGGTTAGTGTAGGCTTGACTAATGAACCCCGCGCTCAGAACCTTAACATGAATGGCTGCCTGCTGCAACCCAGGTTTCCTCCTCGTGTTGACCGCCAGTTGGCAACTTGGAGAGCGCACAGAAGCGGCTTAGGCTTTCCCGATTTGGGGGCTAAGATTAGGGCTTAGGGTCTGGGGCTTGGTGCCTCTTGAGGTCTCGTGAGGGTTTTAAGTTTAAGGTTTAGGGAGTTGATGGTGTGGGTTTTGAGTGCAGAGATGGCTCGAGACCTCCCTTTAGGCTAAACCTTCGAAAACCGCGCAAAGATCCGAACTCCGAATCCCAAAAAGCCGATTCCCCCAACTCCCTGAATTCCCCGTGTTTAGGGTCTGGTTTCTAGGTTTAAGATTTAGGTCTTGTTGAATATATGGCGGTTGAAGTTTAGGAATTTTTGCGTTTAGGGCTAGGTGGGTTCAAGATTTAGGTTTTGTTGAATATATGGCGGTTGAAGTTTAGGAATTTTGGGGTTTAGGGCTAGGGACCGTAGTCACTTCCAATTTCAAGCACTCAGCTTTGTAAGTATCCTATGACCCTACACTCCGTAAGCCCACACCCAGAAGCACTTGCAAACTCCTGAACCCCCCATCCATCCTGCCATACACTCCTTATCTACGTCACATCGGGGAGCTTTGACCCCACACCGAATCCGATAAATATACGCCGGAGGATCCCTAAACTGCCCTGAGCCTCAGTTTAAAGCCACAGACCCACCCAAATAAAGTGAACAGACCCAACTTGCCACATCTTGAGACCCGAGAACTTTCGGATTTTACGGCATTGAAAGCGTGAACGCTGAGGAAGAGCTACGTGACCGGATGGCTGTTGTCGAAGATTGACACCATCCCAGGGAGCCTCCGCCGGTCGCCTGTGGGCTAATATTGCTACACTTGTTGTATAATGTCATTACACACCTTGCCTCATGTCCCATTGTGGCTTTCTGCAAAATACAAACACCTGTGCTGCAAGTGATATGGGGGATTGAAACAACTGCCTAAACTATGCCTTAGGGCTTACCTTTTCCACTAGAGTACAATCATAATCTACCCCAAGCCCTAATTACTCCAAGTACCAGGCCCCCATATTATCCGGACTCTCCTTCGACACGTAGTTGGCAACAGCCTCAAGCAGAATATGCCCCTGAAGCAAGGTGTTCCCCACGTTGTCGCACACCGGCGGCGTCGTTGTATGTGTATCCCAGAGGGTCCAAGTACACACACAACCTCAAATTTCATAATCACTGAAACCGGAGGTTATAGCAATCTGCACACACGTAAGATCGCGAACTTTCTCTTAATCTTGGCTTCTTTTCACCGTTTGAACTCGTCCCGAACCCTGAAAAACTTAACCCTGAGCTCTGAGCCCTAAACTCTGAAAAGCTGTAGGTCATCAATACTGTGCTGCAGGACCAGTCCCACGCCGCTTCGACCGTGTCGGGGCTGAAATTTGCATAAAGTTTGCGTGGGCTTTGGGTTGAGGGCTTATGGGTTAGGGTTGAAGAATCGGAGATCTGCATGGTTTGTTGCTCTATCCTTTGTGCAGCGAAAGATTGTTAGAGAGGACTGCCCTTTCGGAACCCTAGAACCCCTAAACCCTAAACCCTAACCCTCCTAACCAAACCCTGAACCCACCTATCCTTTCACAGTCGCAGGTTCTGTCTTCCCAGGCGGCTATTTAACAACCCATAGCCTAAAGGACCGCCAAACTTGCAACGACACGAAGTCTAGTATAGTACAGTATAGTATACTATAGCATGAACAGTACAGCACAGTACAGTATAGCTTCGTACAGTTTACAAAGTATAGTACAATACGGTACATTATAGTATCCTGAGCCGTCATGCTCGAAACCCTCATGATAGGAGTGAGAATTTTAGAGTTTATGGGTTTAGGGTTCAGGGTCGGGATAAATGGCGATAGTATCCCAGCATGCCCTCACAGTCTCGATAAAGTAGAGTATGACAGACCGCGGCCGTAGTCTAGTCATTAAGGTAGTTTCTAAAAAGACTATAATGAGCATCAGTATAAGAGACGACGCCGTTCCAAGCATTAGGTCATTGGCTACGAAGCATGTTTAGTATAACAGACCCAGAAACTTTACCATGATCACTGTACAACCAAAAGGTCCCCACATTTATGAACTCGCATTCGGATTTCCATGTTCATTCTTGAGGGTAGTTTAGGCTTAAGGGTGTAGGGTTTACGGCTCAGGGTTTAAAGTGTAGAGTTTAATTGGGGTTTAGAGTTTGGGGTTAGGCGTTGGGGATACAAAATGATGTCTCACAAAATAGGATTTAGGGTTTAGGGTTTAAAGTGTAGAGTTTAGGGGTTTAGAGTTTGGGATTAAGCGTTGGTGTCGCAAAACTTTGAATTTTATGTTTGCTGCTACTTTCGCTACATCAGTATATGTTGTTGTTCCTGAGAATTGTCACCCTCATCACCATTAGCAGATCGCTCTCTGAAAGCCGTCCGTAAACCCCGTGAAACCCTAAGCCCAACCAGTGCAAAATCTCCAAACTCTCAAGCCCTCTAAACCCCTCAGTCCCAGGCCCTATAAACCTGAAAGGAACCCTTCTGGAAGCCGTATTCGGGAAGCCTGCAAACCCCGTGCCCTGGAGCTTACCCGAGGTTTGCTTGGCAGCCTGGGAGCGTGTGGCTGAGCCCTGCGGACAATTCTGGTCCTGAGGTGCCTAAGTCTAGTTATCTACATACTTAGGGGTTCCAAAGAAATTGTGCTCTAATACCAAAGCGCATACTATAAAGGCACATGGGCCCCGAGGGGTGGCTCACTTCA